GCTACTTATAGTATCTGACCTAACTCTGATATCGCTATCTCGGAGTGTAGTGTACACATAGACGCTGACTCCATGGGTGGTCCAGGGCTCAAGCACCCACTGAAAAAAAACAGCGGATGCTCAGCATCCATGGAGCTACGCTTACAGACATTTTTAAAAAAACGAATGCTTTACTGGAAGAAGCAGTGCATTACTTCAACCTGGCTCTGCAGTGTCTGTAAAGATTGGATTCTTCAGCAGGGCTTTTTGGTGCTTTTAACTTAAGCCAACTCAATCAGCTATCAGATAAAAGTACCAGAAAAACCCCACTAAAGCATCTGATCTTTGCAGAGCCAGGTTGAAATAATGTTCTGGCCCTTCTGGGCATGCATGGGGCTTGGCATGGGAATGCACCAAGTTAAAAGTAAAGCATCATTTTTTTTTTTTTGGTGCGGGGGGAGGTTATGTCTGCAAGCACCCACCAGGAAAAACAAGGTTGGTGCCTGTGAGTGTAGACATACTCCCAGGTGTTGTTGAGTCTCAGCTAATATATCTCACAATGATCATTGATGCCAACTGGTGGTTAAGATCTCTCCGTAACATGTGGGTTCAGATTTTAGGTGCAGATTCTTTCAAGATGTCTCACAATGCTAGTAAATTAACAAAGCCAGCTTTAGTAGTATTATAGCTACTTCCCTCATTCTGATGCGTCTCTCAAAGTACTATGTTTGCCACTTAGTTTAACCCAACTCAATTAGCTTGATAATTTATAGTGCCTCTTCTTTAACTCTTACTGCACATTTCCAAGTCATTTTATTTGTAATAGTGTCTCATGTGTTATGTCTCCTAGCTCTACATACAAACTACTACACTTACAATATCCATGAACTTAAGTGCTTCAGTGGCCCTGGGGATGCTTTACATGCCGAAAGTGTACATCATCATCTTCCATCCTGAACTAAATGTCCAGAAACGGAAACGCAGCTTCAAGGCCGTAGTGACAGCAGCAACTATGTCATCGCGGCTTTCACACAAACCTAGTGACAGGCCCAATGGGGAAGCAAAAACAGAACTTTGTGAAAATGTAGACCCAAACAGTAAGTACTTCTGATCTTATTACTTGGCTCCTTGTGTATTTTTTGGATGTATTAACCTATATTGTTTTTATAACCTGATCTCTTCCATTAAATATTTTAAATACAAATAATACAAAACATAAAATATTATTTTAGTATCTCTTTTTGTGATGATAACTCCTTTTCTCCTCACCGCTTTGAGACAATAACCCATCCTACTATGCTTGAGCATGTTCTCTTCTAAAGATTGGTCTGGCTACACTGAAATTAATGTTAGGCTTTTCCACTGTTTTCAAAGGAAACTAGAGAGGAAAAACTGCCAGTTTTTTTTTATGTGAATGGCATGGTATATAGAAGCACAAAATGACATAGTGAAGCCATCAAATTTTATTTCCATTTGCATTTGAATCTGGAAGGAATTCAGGAAGGAAACAGCTGCACAACTTTGTAGCATATTGGAAAAGTTTAGGAACATCTGCAATTTTTATGAAAACCAGATCCAAATGTGAAGGAATGCCTTTCATTGCCCATGTTCAGTTCATCCATTAGCTGCTGAAATCTCTGCCACTTTTTATCTATTAAAACTACTGTCTGAATAGCTGCCTCAGAACAGAAAGCAAAGTGGAAATGGCTAGCAAATTACTGACGCGGCACTTTCCCTGCTTCGTTCACCACTCCCCTTGGGTATCTTTTCTCTGATGATTTTTTTCACACATGTACACAAAATATATTCTAGCTGCTATGAGAAACTTCTTCAGAAGTTATGGACTCCCTCATTACTGATAAGTTGGAAAGTTATGAGGCAGTAAAAAAATATTCCAAAACAATTAAGAAACAATTTCTGGCACACCTACTAATGTTCAATGTTACTTAAGCAGGAGTGCCAGTGAAATCAACTGAATAATATGAGTGAGGTTGACAGAAATTCCCTTAAGTTAAATTCATGTTATTCAGTATCATATATCTATATATATATCACCAAATTAATTCCCACCTCCCCCTTCAAGTTTTCCCCTTCCCTGTAAATCCAGTCACTGCTACATTTACCTTGAGTATATGCACAGGTTGTGCTTGGAATGACCTAGCTAGGGTTAGGTCAATCTAAGTGTGGACTGTCCAATGTTTGGGGAGTTTAGCTGGGGCAAAAAATGGCTGGCCTGATCTTAGTTCACCTAAGGAGATGCACTACGTAGGTTGTAGATTGGGCTAACCCTAATCCAACTGAAAGTGTGTATGCTTTTGGAGCACAGCCCCAGGGCTCCTGCCCCAACTCCCTGCCTTCTTCCCCCCTCCTCCTTTAGATTTTGCAGTAAAAATTAACAACCTGCATTTTTTCAGATAAGCTGACATTTTTCAGCCCAAACCTTTGGGTTTAAAATTGAAAATTCCAGTTCAGAAATGTTGCTGCAGTGCCTTCTCTTTTCCCCTATGGGTCATCTTGAATTTGATCTTCCAAGATCTTCTTGGTCTTCCGAGATGTTCCTGAACTGAAACTTTTTCAGGTTTGGAATGTTCATACTTTTTTAAAGAAAATATGAACTTTTTTATGGAAAGAAAAGTTTTAGGAATACTGTCATTTTCTGAAAATATCAATTTTTCTTTCAAAAAGGGGAGTTTTTGGCCAGCACTTTGTAACAAGTTTGGTTTTTCATAGGTATCCATTAGGAGTAAGTAGACGCATGCTTTAAATCTGGAGTACAACCCAAGAACACAATCAAATCTATAGAGCTTTGCTATTTGCATGTGTGCCACAAGAATCTTTCTTATATTCTCCTTTATTTTCATAATGGAGTCCTAGATATCTAACTATATTTGTTTAATTTAACCTACCAGGTGATGTGTTTATATTGTATTGAGCTATGTGACTTTCTCCAAATGCTATTTTGCAAATTTTGTATAATTCACCAATTACAATCTTTCTTTAAAATACTTTAATTATAGATACACAATGTTCATGCTAACTGAGGCATCTACTCAGGTTGTCTCATTTGCAGAACAGGTGCATTGATGACAATAGTTAGAAAATCAAAGAATCTCAACTGTTTCTGTGCCTAAAATGTTTTCACACGTAAGTTCTAGTGTGAGGGCCAGCTTAACAAAATACAAATTAGTGGGTGTTTGCCATTGACTTCAGTGAGTATAGGCTCAAACCCATAATTTAGGAGATATTCTTTTTATGCATATTTATATATGACATAATGCAGTCCATTAAAGAAGCAGATTGATGGGTTTTCAATTTTTTGTAAAAATGTTGCAATTTAACATTTTTTAGGCTAGTATTCTTCCTGTCATATTTGTAGGCAGCCATAAAGATGGTTATAGCTGAAATTTGAGGAAAAAATCAAATTTTCCAACCTGTTAATATTGTGATAATATTAAGTATGTGTTTAAATAGCAAATGACTTAGTGGAGCTGGTGGAAAACTTGCAGAATTTTGAAAAATGAAATGTCAGCAAAAAAAGCTAAATATCTGTGATGCCACAGGTAGAGTGGTGGTGTATTTTTCATTGCTAAATTTTGAATGTCGAAATAATGCAATTTTTATTAAAAAAATGCATTTTTTACCATTTTTTCAAGGTGGTCTCATATGTTGTACACTGATCATTAATTGTTATCAGTGAAAGAGGCAATATGTTCTGCACAGAGAACAAAGTGGATGCCCCTTTTAGTTCTGAACCATTGTGCGGTAACGTAAAAATTATAAGTCTGATTGTCATTTCCTGGTTTCCATCATTACAGATTGCATTATATCTGAAGGTAAAAATTGTTGAATGGGATTGATGAATCGATATATACTTTATTACAGAGGGCTACCTTGAGTACAGATCTAACTTACAAATCAAATGTTTCATTTAATTAAGGAAGCACAATTAGATTTTCAAGTTTGACTTTTCAAAGACATTTCCTGATTATTCTGTTGCTGAATTGTTTGTTCAAGTATTAGATGGTGAGGGTTGCCATTTATGTACAGAAGGAGGAAAAAAACTTTAATAAACACTACATGCAGATATGTGAACCACCTTATGAGATTCATGTACCTCCAAACTTTTGGTGTCCGGCAGTTAAACCTGGTTTTGGCTGCCTATGCAGTTTAGCTTCCAAGGCTTAGTGTCAAACACCCGAGTAAATAAATACATAGAGAGGAAAATGTTTTATTAAAACTTGCATGTTTGTTATTAACACAAGTTTATTGATTACTTTTAAAGAGCAGCTACCTAACAACCCAGATATGTTTCGTGTAAACCATGGAAAGACCACAAGGCCTATTGGACTTAGTGACATTCCCCAAGAACTAATTTTGAGCATCTCCTGAGGAATGCTGAATGCACCCATTTCCCTAGATAACTGAGGTTATTTAGTGCTATGTAAGGAGGGCCACAGGGACCTAAATAACTGAGGTTATTTAGTGCTATGAAGTTTGGGCCAAAGTGTGAAGGTTTAGAAGTAAGGGCAATAACGAGGGCAAAAAAAAGACAATCTGAAACGGAATGACCATCATGAGTTAGCCAGAATCTGGAACCAACTTCCCAGGGAAGTGGTCCTCGCCCCTACCTTGGGCAAATTCAAAAAGAGGTTAAATGATCACCTGTCTGGGGTCTTGTGAACCCAGCATTAATTCCTGCCTGTGGCAGGGGGGTCAGGCTAGATGATCTGATCATGTCCCTCCTGACCCTAGCTACTATGAAACTATGAGTTATTGTGCTGTTGATTTTAGGTTGGGATTTGATGGAAGCAGGAAATTTCATAAGTTGAGCTCCTTACTGTGAACTAAAAGATGTTTCATGTTGAATGGAATACATTACAATCAAGCCTTTCAATCTCTTAACAATTTTATTTTTAACAATACTGATAATCATTACAGTTTGCCATCTGGCACATGCATGCTTTTACTCATTCAACAGCTTTGTTCTGCTTTTACATGTTTGCATTAAAAATGTTTTCCAGCAGCTTATGATGAGCAGAAGTTGGTGCACAGCAGCTTGCTTCCTTCCTTTAACAAGTTCATTCTTCTCTCATGTTGTACATTGGTTGAATTTCACAGTATTTGAAAAAACACTCATCTTGTCTTAAGCTTAGTGAATAGAGAGTGCCCTTTCTTCCTTACTATACTATATTTATGTTTCTGCCATAAGAATAGAATCAAACTTGGGAAGAAAACAAAAAATCTCCAACCCATACTTAGCTTATAGTGAAGATTTATGTATAATTACTTCTTATACTTAGCCACTTACTTTGATTTATGGTTTTACAAAAAGTAGCGTCAGCAAATCAAGATCTCAATTGTTCTGTAATGAAAGGGTTGCCTCTTTAACACGCTAGATGTAGCAGGCCTTGCTGTCAGGGCATTTGTTTTACAAGCAGTTTACTTTATAAGAATATTTAAGAGGCAAAGTGCTCTGTATTTTTTCATCAGTGTGAATGCAGTACTGCCTCCTTTCTTAGTATCTTTCAGTGTCTCTTTCTCACAACATTTTCACATTGAAGAGTTGTACCCATGAGATGAGTAACAGAAATGCATTGATGATATTTACTTCTAGTAGCACTGTTAACTGCTGAAGTGACAATTCCTAGTGGGCTGGAGACTATTCAGGTAATGGGCAATGGGATTGCAGTGTGCATTAGTTAGGAGACCAGCAGTCTGTCTTATCTTGGCAGTTGCCACTTGAAAGTTTGCTCAATGTGAGTTTTTGTTGTTCCCCAAATTTTTCAAATCTATAGGCCATAGCCTCTCAGTGGGCACGTCTGCACATGATGCTACAATGCTGTAGCAACATGCTACGGCGACATAGTGTCCACGGGCAAAATCCATGACGCCTCCACTACATTGCCATAGCAGCACGTTCCTTCATTATGGCGCATTGCTATGGTGACGTAGTGGCCAAAAATAACTGTGCGCCTCCAGCATGGTGCAGTATGGGCTATTGCTGTAAGGGGCACCTGTAGACGTGCCCAGTGAGCTGGAACTCCTAAGTCGCTGTTTTGGCAAGTCATTTTCATCCTTTGGGGAACTAAGGACTTTGTTGTGACTGATGAAATTGGTAGATTGTCCTTCTAAATAGTAATATCAGATGAGACATTGGGACAGAAGAATAGCAGTGGTCCTTTTCTTTCCCCCTTTTGATTTTTCCCTCCTTATATTTTTCTTTGTGATTTCAGAATGACCTTTGCTGTTGAGCAGTCTACTAGCCTATAATAATAAAGGGTACCAGGTATGAAACCTCAGTAAGGTCAAGGCATAAGGACAAGATAATAAAGCTAAGGCACAATGAGCAAGCTGAAATCAGTTGATGATCAGGGATCCTGTTTTCTCTGATTAAAAAAGATCCCCAATTTTCGATGAAAAAAAAGTAACCCAAAATTCACACTTTTCCGTGATTAAAAGGAAACACCACTATATAGAGATATATGGCGACATAGCATCCACGAGCAAAAACCATGATGCCTCTGCTACACTGCCATAGCAACACGTTTCCTCATGATGCATTGCTCTGGCGATATAGTGGCCAAAAATAACTGTACGCCTCCAGCACGGTGCAGTATGGGCTGTTACTGCGCTGTCATTCGGTACTTCCAAAAGGCACATTTAATTTTCAGATGAAAAAAAGTTACCCTAAATCCACATTCTTCTGTAATGTAAAATGAAACACCACTATATATACATATATAGTGGTGTTTCATTTTAATCATGGAAAAATGTGGATTTGGGGTACCTTTTTTTCGTCTGAAGATTAGGGATTTTTTTAAATCGGAGAAAACTAGGGTCCCTGATTATGATAAAGAATAGCTTGTTGAGTTAGATAGGTTTTCCTTATTTATTTATTTTTAGCTGAGGTATTGTGATATGTTGGGATGTGGCAAAAAGGTATGATCCTCTACTGCTGGCAGAACGTCTGATTTTCAGAAGTGATGAGCAAACTATCACTCCTGTGTAAAGTCAGTAGGGCCTTAAGTGCTCAGCATGTCTGGAGATCTGTCCAAGGTGACTTCTTTGCTTTTACTTTGACATTAGAAAAATCAAACCCCCTTGGCAGTCAATGCAGCTTGGTAGTGAAATGTAATGGGTGTCTTTTGTACCTGAACCAAAACCTGATGTGTTGGTTTTTTTCCGTTTTTGAAGTGCCTCTTTGCTATGTGTTGTCAAGATACGTAACTGCTGTATAAGCAAAGCAAAAGTGAAAGCCCCATTCTGATGGGCCTCTCTGTCTCACAGTGACAGGATAATAAGACAAAAAAAATCTTTCGATCTTCATTCCTTTTGTGTTAAGAACTTACATTGACCCTCTGAATCCCCATCAGCAAGCTATGAATGGTCTATATGAAAGGAGAACATCCTATGTTTGAGAGATGTACAGACACTGCTGTGCAAATGCTACCATGCTGTGCTGTTCTGTTTTTGTTTCTTCATTTGTGTTGATTCCTAACATTACTGACATGATCTTGCCTATTTCATCTTTCTGGTTTATTTCTGATCCACAGCGAATGTCATATACTGCCATATTATGACATCAACTGTTCTAATCCCAGCTCATCTGTCAAATAAAAATAGCATGGTCTTGATGAAAGGGCAAAGCAAAAGAATCTGTTGTGAGCATATGTATTGTACATATCAATATATTTACTTTTCCTGTAGACTGCATACCGCCAGTAAGAAAGAGTGTTCAAAAATCTGTTACTTGGTACACTATTCCACCTACAGTATAGCTTTTGCCTGCTTTCCAAAAAGGTAAGAAAAACATCTAGTTTTTTTATTACATTTTTGTTCAATGACATCAAATAGGGACATGTATCCAAACAAGGAACTACCCTACAAATTGTTCACATTTTTCATTATCAGCTGTTTTCATTATAAAGAAAAACTATAAAAAGGAAAATATTGGGCCAAAATTTCAGGTGTTGTAAATTTGTATTGCTAAGTCTAAGAGCAACATGGTATTTATGTCGTTATCAATAGAGATGCATCAGCTTAAACCGCCTAAAAACCGGGTCCATTCACTATAAATTTAACATGAACAAAATTCATCAAAAGTTAATTACAGCAATTAGGTTTTGCAGCTGACAAGATGCTTTCTGAATCATTTTTAGCAACCTCACCTAGGTTGG